TATATGGGAGAGAGAGAGAGAGAGAGAGAGAGAGAGAGAGAGAGAGAGAGAGAGAGAGAGAGAGAGAGAGAGAGAGGGGGCGTGCGTGTTTGCGTCCATGTACACACTACCGAAACCAGCAGTCGACAGAGCGACATGCTATTAAATAAGTCAATAGACCCAGTGGAAAGTGTCTCACCCTTGACCTCGTGTGCAAACCAACAAGCGCCGTGGGGCAGCCAACCAAAAGAGAGGGCTGAAGTAGGAGTCGCTTGCAATTGATAATTACGGCGGCCTCAACAGACACCAGGTCGATGGGCCCACAGAATTGACGTGGGAGTATTATAGTTAGTACTTAATAATGATACTGTTGACCTGTAAGGGGACCACTATAGAATAATTAACTGTATTGATCCGTTCCGGTGTCACACAACGACTGAGAGGCAGGCTTAATTCATTTTTTCTAAAATTATTTCTTTGCTTGAGTATAGAGAAGCCATCGACACGATTAAGGTCATTACGTGGTGGGAAAGAGTAACACCGGCACACAGAAACAACAAAGAGAAATCATAAAGTAGGAGTAGAGAATAAAGAGAAGCAATTAATCGATTCGATAACAGTCATTTAGAACTGGAAAAAAAGGTAAGGCGGGCATATATAAAAACAACGGGGAGATTTTAAAAAATAAGATGGGACCTACCAGTAGAGCCTTCCAACCACCCACCACTTTGCACCTTGTTTAGGTTTTGTTTTAGCGAGGGTTTTGCGGCACTTGCAACATGATTAGGTGATAAGTGGCAAAGATTTAGAGGTTTTACAAGAGAGTAACAAACACAAATAATGAGGGGGGGGGGGGTAAGGACGATAGACCTTTGAAAAGAAAGAAGGAGCAAACCGCATCGGGGAACCCGCCAACCACCCAAAAAGAGAGACATAAAAGAAGGAGACCTGAGATAGACCTTTGAAAAGAAAGAAGGAGCAAACCGCATCCGGGAACCCGCCAACCACCCAAAAAGAGAGACATAAAAGAAGGAGACCTGAGTAAAGAGAAGCACACCGACACGATAACAGTAATTTAAAACGGAAAAATGAGTACGACTGACATAGTTTTCAGTTTTAGTAAGTGTTTAACGGCACTTGCAACACAATAGGGTCATATAAGTGCTGACGATTGGAGGTGTTACAAGAGAGTAACAAACACAAAAAAGGAGGAGGGGAGATAGTTTAGTTTTGGTAGAGGTTTTACGGCGCTCGCAACTGCATAAGGTTATATGAGCGCCAGAAGATTAGAGGTGTTACAAGAGAGTAACAAACATAAAAAAGAAGAAGAGGAGATAAGGACGATAGATGTTTGATAGGAAAGAAGAAGCAAACCACACCAGAGCACCCGCCAACCACCCACGGAGGGGAGATAAA